CCTCTGCTAGCATTATTCTACAATGTTCTATTGGTCTTTTATTTGCTACATTTCATCCACAGCTAAATGCACAAAGAATTGCCAGGTGATCTCCTCCTGATCAGGCTCTGGCTAGACCTAGTCTTGTTTAGCTTTTACATGGGGGGCATGCACTAGACTGCAGCATAGCAGGCACATCATGTACTTTTTGGTGATGTGTCTTTTGCTGCCCTTATGGAAATACTGTTTCAAACAAGGGCTATCTTTCCATTTAATATCCGATAGATAAGCCTTGGTTGGGTGTGTGTGGCAACAAACTGGCATAACCCCCCAAATGCCCACCTATTACAAATGGTAGCACACCCTCCAACTATTCCAATTTGGCAGGAACAGTCTTGATTAATCCTCCATCATCTGAATTTTTCAGCTGCTTTTAAAATGTCCCTGTTTCTCTCTTCACTTCTTCCTTTTGTCCTCAGATTACTTCAATTGCTGCAAAGCAGTTTGCACTCAATTAATTCCGCAAGGAGAGGGCAAAATCTTGCCCTTCCCAGGAGAATCAGGCAAAAGCAAACTGCTGCATCCTCTCCTAGTTTGTCTGTTCTTCCTTAGTAATAATTTCTGCTATCCTGACAACACTCTGGTGTTGACTGGCCACATGCGTCCTGGTTTTCACCTGTAAAATGCTGGAGGGTATATGAGTGTTTCCAATATCCAATGGGATACTGCACTAAAATACAAAGGGTGAGAGAGAAGATAGAAGCCCAGTATGGTCAATATAAATCTGGCTTGATGTACATCCCCCTTTTTCTGAGCTGGCATGCCCCAATATATTTAAAATAAATATTTAAAAAGTCAAGGCAGGAGCAATACAAAGGAAACTGGATGAATTCTATAGCAGAGACAGCTAATATGATTCAGAACAGTGAAAGCGGGGGAGGCACGGGCGGGGTGTCAAAGTTTGGGATCCTCTTCTTTTTTACTTGCATGTAAATAAACTGCAGTTGATCAAATATCCTGCTTTGTGTATCTTGCCTTTTCTAATGCCACTGCTTTGTGATTTTATTTTGTTCTGTCAAACTGATGGCCTTTGGCTAACCAGGAAAGTTTGTAGAGGTAGGAAGCATCACTCTTTAGATTAGAATAAGGGTGGGCAGCTTGTGGACCTCCAAGTGTTGTTGGGCTGTACCTTCCATCATCTTCTCACCACTGTCTGTGATCCTATGGATGATGGGAGTTGCAGTTCAACATCATATGGAGGGCCACCAGTTGTTCTGTTTTCTTTTGACAAATTATTTTGAGAACACTGAGGCTGTATAAGGCAAAGTGCATAATCCATGCCATGATGAAAAGATGAAATTAAAAGGAAGTTGATAAATGGCACACCTAATCCACAGAGGGGGGGAGAACTGTAGTGTAC